CACCCGGAAGCGCGACGCATCGCCAACCTCCCCCGTCCAACGCAGTGTGGGCGACGTCTCCGGCAAGGAGACACGGGGCCAGAGGTTGAGCTGATGCGCGGCGTACCGGACAGCAAACGGCCACAGAAAATGGGGAGCCGCCGCGTGGACCAAGGAGGTACGAGCGACCTCCATGACCAGGCCAATGCGGCGCTCAGCAACCCCATTCTGCTGTGGGGAGTCCGGAAGCGTGAAGGTCTGCTCGATGCCCTCCGCCTGACAGAAGGTCCTCAAGAGATCGGAGGAAAACTCACCACCTCTGTCAGAGTGCAGACGCAGGACAGGAAGATCCGTCCGGAAACGGCGGCGGAGCTGGAGACGAACCGTGCGGATCCAAGGGATCAGAACAGCAGGGACCTCACCCTTGGTGCGCAAGGGGAAGACCGTGGTGTAACGCGAGTAGTCGTCGACAACCAGCAAAAAATACCGCTCACCGCCCTGACCACGAACGCGGGCTGGGCCCCACACGTCCAGGTGGAGGGTCTCCAGAGGAGCCTCTGTCGGGGGGAACGAGGAGGAGTGAGGAGCGGCGCGCTGCCGCCCCTCGACGCAAGGAAGGCAGGGCGGCGCAGGCGAGGCAGGGAGGGGAGGGAGGGACCTGGGAAGACCGGACACAAGGAGGCGACGGTGCATGCCACGAAGGCGTGGCAAGGAGGGGTGACCCAGGCGGTGGTGCCAGAGAAGAGTCTGGTGCGACAGGGAACGACACTCACAGGCGTGGGCCACCAGACCTGACGCAGACACCTGACCGACAGCAGCTACCTGGGGAGACGCAGTGGTCAGTGTGTAGAGACTCGACCCCGGCCGACGGGTGAACGTAGCCAGGTGACGGCCAGTCCTGGAGCACGTGCAGATCGCCACACGCTGTCCGCCAGGGGTAAAGGTGTCAACCCACTGATCCTGGAGGACAGCGTTGCTCACCAGGTTCGTCGAGAACGAGGGGAGGTGGAAACCCGACAACGAGCCAGATGGAACCGCCGGACAAGGGAGGACAGTGGTGGACTGGGCAAGGACTGGGCCCCCAGAGGGGTCAGCCAAGGAGACTGGGACCGGTGCAGGAAGCGGTGTGAGCTCAGTACTGTCACGAAAGAAGCAACGGGAAGCACCTGAGTCAAGGGTGAAGGTGTGACAGGCCTCAGCCGGTGCGGTACCTGAGAGAGCAGTCTCTGTGGGTGCTGTACCTGAGAGAGCAGACTCGAAACCAGTCGGGACAGCACTGGAGGGAGCAAGTACACGGGGCACCATACCAGAGAGAGCAGACTCACTAGTACCCAGGGCAGCGGGCTCTATACCTGGGTCAGGCGGCACACACAAGTAACAGTCTCCCTCGGCACTAACAGTCAATGCATACATGGCAGCAATAATAGCATCATAGTCAAGAGCAAAGACATCAACACCAGCCCTCATGAGCTCAGCCCAGCGGGGGCGCTCAACATCCGCACCCATCTCCTCACGCCAAGCGTCGTCAAGGCGGGAGAAGCAGCGGTACGGGGTGTGGAACCTCCCACACGTCTGTCCCTTGCGGTCACCTGTGCGAATGACATAAGAACAGCGGGCACTGGCCCCCGACGTCCCACGCTGAGCAAGCCACTCACGAAGCTGCTGGGTCGTCTGGGGACGCTGCTGCTGCTGGGAGCTCTGGCCAGAGCCAGTGCCTCCACTCCGACCTCCGCCGCCACCACTACCACCGCTCCGACCGCCACCGCCACCACCGCCACCACCGCCACCGCCGCCACCGCCGCCGCCGCCACTACTGCCACTGGTCCCTCCGCCGCCCCCGTCTCCACCACCGACCCCACTCCCACCAGCGCTCCCGCCACCGCTCCCTCCAGCACCGCCTCCCCCCCCACCTCCCCCACCTCCTCCCCCCCCAGCGCCACCACCACCACCCTTGCCCCCCTTGCCCTTGCCGGTGCGGCGCCTCCCACCAGGAGTAGAAGCAGCGCCAACAGACTCAGCACCAAGGAAGTCAACAGCAGCAGCAGCAGCGTAGGAGGGAGCGAGGGGAGAGGGAGAACACCCCTCAAAGATGGGGGTGCGAGGAGCGCCACGAGCAGCACCGACAGCTACAATGCTCTTTTCGGCCGCGAGCAGGTGCTCCTCTAGGAGGGCGACTGTGAGCTCAGTGGGACAGCGAGCAAGGAAGTGGTCTCGAACTGAGCGGAGGGTGTCAGGGAGACGGGTGACTATGAAGTGGAGTGTCCAGTACAGTGGAGGGGGGTTCTTAGCGCAGAACTCGGTGGGAAGGGCGGCACGCAGGCGAGCATCACTAGTGCGAAGGTGGGTGATAAGATCGGCGACTGTAGTAAAGGTGGACAGATCGGGGAACAGGTACGGCAGCATGAGGCGGCTAAGCTCGGCTGTGGCAGGCGAGGAGTAGCGAGCGACGACAGCGTCGTACAGGGCCTTAGCGGATTTGCAGTCGCCAAAATGCTCTAGCTCAGCTAACGGCAGGTGACTGCGAATGGCTAGGCGAGCAGCTGCGTCACGAGTCTGCCAGTGGGAACGAACACTAAGCTCAGCTGTGGCAGGAGGGGCAGGCGCAGCACCAGACGCGTAGTCATAGAGCGACACATGCTCCTTGCTATCGCTCAGGAGAAACAGCTGCAGGTCATCTAGCCAAGCGGTGAAACGCACAGGGCGGCCCTCAGCATCGAACGACAGCACGCGAATGGAAGCCATAGCGACAGTGTGACAGAGTAACGAAAACTGCCGCAGCAGGGGAAGACGACTGTGCACGGATAGAGAGCAGCGGGCGAGGCTGGCGCTACGGGCAGGCGGCGCTGCAAGCGGTCAGTGCGACGGGAGGGCGACGCTGCGAGCGGGCAGCGCGGCGGACGGGCCGGAAAGCGGGCAGCGCGGCGGGCAGCACGGTGGGCGGGCGACGCTGCGAGGGGGGCGGGCCGCAAAGCGAGCAGCGGGCGGGCGGGCGGGCTGCGAAGCGGGCAGCGGGGCGAGCGGGCTGCGATGCGAGCGGGCCGCGAAGTGGGCAGCGAGCGGGCGGGCGGGCTGCGAAGTGGGCGGGCCGCGAAGCGGGCAGCGGGGTGAGCGGGCTGCAAGGCGGGCGGGCTGCGAAGTGGCGGGCCGCGAAGCGGGCAGCGAGCGAGCGGGCTGCGAAGCGGGCGGGCCGCGAAGCGGGCAGCGAGCGAGCGGGCTGCAAAGCGGGCGGGCTGCGTAGTGAGCGGGCCGCGAAGCGGGCAGCGAGCGGGCGGGCGGGCTGCGAGCGGGCGGCTCGGCGAGGGGCGCGCGAGGGCGCTAGTGAGGGGCGCGCGAGGGCGCTAGTGAGGGGCGCGCGAGGGCGCTAGCAAGGGGCGCGCGAGGGCGCTAGCAAAGGGGCGCGCGAGGGCGCTAACGAAGGGGCGCGCGAGGGCGCTGACGTGGGTGCGCGCGAGGGCGCTAACGAGGGTGCGCGCGAGGGCGCTAACGAGGGCGCACGAGGGCGCTACGAGGCTAGGGAACGGGGTAGCGTGGTAACCGCATGCGAGCGGTGGTGGGCCCTAAAAACGATCGGTAGGTCCTAGGGACCTCCTGCTCTGAATACCATATCAGAATCACTAGGCAAGAATGATTGAACTAACAGAAGTTTGGGTACAAATATGAAACCCTAGTTGGGGTTGTACCCCATATTGGCTACCCCACTACAGCCTACAAGCATAATACAGTTTAACACTCTAACCTTTTGAGCTCGCACGTTCCATCCCAGGACTTCTTGACCAGGTCCCCCATACGGATGCCCAGCAGCACCTCCGTTCCCTTCTGATTCCCGAAAGGGCTTGCGCCTCTGAAATGAATATTTGGGTTAAACGCCAGATGCTCCTGCTCCACCTCCCAACGGTTTGTCGGCGTGTGTGCTTTACACAGCGGCGAGTCCAGAACTTCTCTACTAACTCCTTCCAGCGTGTACTTCCTTTCACCCAGTGGTCCCGCAACGACTTGTGAGCGAAGATGGTGTCGAGCCCCAGGGGCATCTCAGCTACCTTCTCCGCCAACCACCTCTTGACAGAGCACGGCTTCAGCACCAGTCGGCAGACGTTCCGGATGGCGATGCCGTCTACCCTCAGCTACGGGCATAATAACCCCAGCCCCCCCTCCTTCCGAGGCGTGCAGTGTCAGAATCCCAACCACTAACCACTGGGATAAAAGGGCTTGTTTGTGTAGCGGGTGAGTGCGCCCATAACCCCCCAGGCCAACGTGCCTGTAACCCTTCCCTAGGATCAATCGGGGATCTCCAGTGGACCTCTGACACCCCCCCGCACTGGGATGCCCGAAGTGCACACACCGGGAATCGAACCCGAGACCTTCGCTCTGATACCATGTCAGAATCCCAGCCACTAACCACTGGGATAAAAGGGCTTGTTTGTGTAGTGGGTGAGTGCGCCCATAACCCCCTAGGCCAACGTGCCTGTAACCCTTCCCTAGGATCAATCGGGGATCTCCAGTGGACCTCTGACATGCAGGCCAGCTTGTAGTTCCAGAGGATGAAGCGCCTTTCCTCCACCGCTTCTCCTTTCGAGACAAAGGTGTGGCACAGTTTGTGGATTTTCTTCCAGATGGTCTCCTTCGGAAGGTAAATCTGCGCCTGGAAGAGGAAGATCGGCACGATGTAGCTGTTGATTATTGACACCCTTACCGATGTGGTCAGGTGCTTTATTTCCCACTTCACTAACTCCCCCCTCGCTCTGTCCAACGCCTTGTTCCAGGATGGGGTCGGGTCGCCATTCGGTGTGATCCAAATTCCCAGCAGACGCTCAGGATCGTCTTTGTCTGCCCATTTGTACTTTATGCCATGTGGTGCTGGCTTCCCCCGGTACTTCCCCAGCGGGAAGACCACTGTTTTCCCTTCGTTCACCTTCAATCCGGATTCTTCCCCGAAATCTGACAGCACCTTCGACGCCGTCTGGAGCTGCTCTGCCCCCTGCAGCAGGAGTGAGGTATCGTCTGCGTATCCCAGGTACGCCAGCTTACCCACGCCCCTCTTTTCGACCCCCCTCTTGGCACAAAGGCTCCACCGCACAAAGGAACAGGTACGGCGCCAGCGGACACCCTTGACGCACCCCCTTTTCCACCGCTACTTTTTCTCCCGTCCATCCGTTAATGTGCAAACATGTTCCTGCTTCCCTGTGTAGCCCCTCCGTCCAGGACACAAACTCCTCCGGTAATCCCAGCTTCCGTAACGTGCTGAAAAGGAAGTCGCGCGAGATCGAGTCAAACGCCTTCTGGAAGTCAATCATCAGCAGAAACCAGTCTTCATTCCCGTTTGCCCCCGCTTCTATGGCGTCTGCCACCACCGCCACCGCATCCGCTAGTTGACGATCAGGTATGAATCCGTACTGGTCCTCTGAGATGACCTCATGCAAAACTTTCTTGAGCCTACTTGCCATCACCTTTGCCACGATTTTATAAACGGTGCTTAGGAGCGTTATCGGCCGGTAGTTCCCAAGATCGCCCTTGTCACCCTTTTTGTGTAGCAGAATGGTCACCGCTGTTGTGATATTTTGCGGCAGATCATCTCCCCTCGTAAACCTCCCCACCAGGTCCATCAGTATCGGCCCCAGCAAGTCCCAGTTGTAATCGAAGAGCTCCTTGGGCAGGCCATCCGCTCCCGGCGACTTCCCCGGGGCAAGCTCACGCACTGCCTTCCGCACCTCTTCCTCCGTCCAGGGCGCGCTTAGCGACCTCCTGCTCTCTTCCCCCAGCCGTCGCAGCATGGGACGGTCATCTGTGCCAGGTACAGCACCCCCGCCAGAACAGCCAAAAGCCTCGCGGAAATGGTCTGTCGCCGCCGAGAGAACCTCCTTCACCCATGTGAGGACAGTCCCATTCCTTGACACTTCACGGATCGCTGTCATAGCCTTGCGAGTTTTGATTTGCGCCGACAGGATACCCGACACCACCTCCCCGTCCAGCTCTGCTTCAACGCCTGCCCATGTCTGCAGTTTTTCTTTGTGACTTTTCTCGTACGCCTCCAGCAGCTCCTCCTTCCTAAGAAGGATCCGACCCGTTCTCTGACAGTGCGGGTAGCGCGACACCCGAGCTCTGAGCCGCTCTACCTCGTTGGTAAGGTGTAGCCTAGTCGCCGTCTCCCTTTTCCTCTCCTCCCTTGAGTAAGCCCTCAGACAGGCGGTTAATCTCCCCAGCAGCCTGCCAACTGGCTCGCCAGCGGATTCCACGACAATTTTTTTGATTATCTTCCTGACACCCTGCTTCTTTGCCTGCTCCGCTCTCAACCTCCAGATGCCTGGCCCGTTTTTGACTGCACCTGCAGATTCCAGCACCACGCCTATTCCGCTCCAGTGATCCGTCATCCCATTTGTGATTGCCATGTGCTTCGCATCCACCAGTCTACCCAGCAGCGGTTGTGATATCAGTGCCCTGTCAATCCTTGAACTGGATCTTGTCGCCTTTGCGAAAAATGTGTATTCCCTTTTGTCCAGATGCATGTGTCTGAAAGCATCCCTCAGATCCGTATTACCCCAGAAGTCCAGGAGCCTCTGATTCTCTGCCGCGGAGCCAGAGTGCGATGTGCGGTCCAAATCCGGGTCCTCGACCACGTTAAGGTCCCCCATCACCAGAACGTTCGGGAGCGCCGGCAAAGACTGCAGGAACGGTGTCAAGCTGTCTCTGTAAAAACTGCCTCTGTTGACCGCCTGCGCTGGAATGTAGGCTGCCACCAGCAAGAACTCCAGCCTCCCCAGACGAGCGACTACTGCAAGAAGCCTGCCAGACCTGTCAACGAAGCTGCCTGCGAACACCAGCCCAGGTACGAAGCTCACTATTGCAACACCTTCCGCCGAATCCCCGGGGTCTGGCCCACACACTGCAACCGCACTCGGATTGATTTGCGTCCAGAAATTGTGGTCCGCCTGTATCCTGGTGTCCGTGATTATTGCCACGTCTGTTTTCTCCCTCATCCATTTGCTGCACTTGTTTTGTTTCTCCATCCCGCCGAGTCCATTGATGTTGAACTCGCAGAAAGTGACTGTGTGGGCCTTATCCATTAATCAACAACTGAGAAGCCCCCTCGCATCCACGGGCTGTAGGGATACAGAAAACTACCAGACCAGGTGAGCTGCTGAGAACAAAAACTACTACTCCTCCTACGCAACTGCTGATGCAACCGTCAACCGAACAGGATGTGACAATCTCTTCCGGCCGACATGTGGTGCTAACGCTGGTGCATGTTACTTCGCAGGTTTCGTAATGAACTCCTTCTTGAAGGCCTGCAGCTTCTGGGAGAACACGCTTGCGCGCGTTGCCGAGCCTTCCTTCCGCAACCCCCCCTTGTGATGGGCCGAAGCAATGTGAGCCGACGCCTGCTCGAAACGGCTCCCCTGCGCCTTCTCGCAAGCTGACTGAACACAGACCCATTCCTCCCGCGCGCCTCCAGTGGAGGTGAGAATGATAGCGGGGTCCCGCATGATGCTCTTCAGCAGATCTGAGGCTTTCAAGGCCGCGGCTGTGGGGAAGAAGGAGCAGAGAGCTGTCAGTAAGAGGCGAGGAAAAAAGAGCGTGCAGGAAATCGAGCACAAGCAGCAGGTAAGATGATTCTCCGCTTATACCATTCATCTCGTGAACCTTTTTAACAGTCAGGTTCCAGTTGTTGAAAGTTTCCTGCCTCGGCGCAACGTAATGATCGTGGTAGCGTGTCATGTGCTGGCCGCCGCAGAACCCACAGACCAACGACGGGAAATGAAGCAGGTATCTCTTCTCCGTGGATGGGTCTTCCACTAAGTACCGCCAGCGGTACTCATCGTCGGCGTGAGGAATGATCAGACCACGAATACGATCTGTATCCAAGCCGGACACTGGATCCACCGTCCGATGGAAGCCGAACCTGCTTGCGAACGCACTTTTTCCCCGTATGACCAGCTTCGACACCACCAGCAGGCGGCGAATCAGTTCCGCCGAAATTTCCGCCGGCACACCTTTGATCACGACCTCCTTAGCCGTGGGGTTCAGCACACGCTCGCGCAGAAAACGCGCATCCTCCGGGTGCTGCCAAGTGAGGTCAATGAAGTCGCCGTTGACACACTCATGACGGATGACCTGGCTCCAGACGAAGTTTGCATCCCGCACTTGGTGAAAGGTAACTTGCAGCCGACCATAGCGTTCGCCGGAGAAATACATTGGCGAGAGGTCTTGGTACGTGGTGGTTAAAAGCACCTCGGACGATAACAGCTCCTTCTATTCGTCCAGCAAAGCAGCAATAGTGACAGCAGCACGCTTAACTTCCACCCTCCTGGCAAACGGCACCAATAAGGTTAGTGAAAAACGCTTCAGAGCAAGAATACTGTTAAGCGAGTCCGGCTCCAGGTGTTCATCAGACGCGTCACTCAGGTAACCGTTGTCCTCGTCGTCAAAGTCATCTGCCGGTTGCACATCAGCACCAACAGCCTCGGTGTCGTCCGCATCAGTCTCCACTTGTGCTGCTCCTTTAGCAACCTTCTTTTCCCCTTCGGTTTTCTCCTTAACGGAAGCACCATCCTGATCACCCTCGACCGGCAGCTCTGGAAGAGCTTCGAAGGGACCGACCAGCGTCGCAGAAGCAGGACTTGAGAGTGGCTTCCCAGCGTCGGCGGACTCCTTCTCAGGCATGTCTGGTACGTTCATGTCCGCAGCGTTGTCAGTAGTCTTCTTGCCGCTCTTCCCGTTGCGTCCCTTCTTCATCGTGCGATGATGATCAAGACTATCCAGCCAGGCTTTGGCTGAGAAATAAAGCGATCTAAGCACAGACTGATAATGATGCCATTGTTTGTACTTCTTATGCTTGAAAGCAAAGCGCTGCAGGTCCAAGCCGGTTGAAGCTGCTGACGACTTCGGGATGAGCGCCAGGCCTTGACAACTGGTGTTCTCGGTTGAACAGGAACCTTGAGATGTGGTATGATAGGGATTGTTGTAAGCTGATGACGTAGCAAAACAGAGGCCGCGATGGAATCCATGGAGTAGCCCAGCAGCGCTTTGGTATTGTCGAGTTGATTCAGAACTTGGAGTTAGGTGTAGCAATGGCGTTAGCCTGGAACTCAAATAAAAGGTGCTTAGGCTCCCGTAATGAGCACAAAGAGTGCACCCTTTCGTAGAGCTTAAAGCCGCGCATCGCCTGAGCACACCAATGTTAGAATCTGACACGAAATTGATACACATTGGCTGAGTTAAAGCTCAACCTTGATGGCAATTTGGGCTGTCGGCTTCAACAATAGTTGTAACGTTGTAGATATACATGCAATCCTCGATCCCTTCGTAGCCGCAAGTGACGGTCTGTTGGGGTTGGCTCGCTTGCTGCATAATTGTGAGACAGTCACACCAGCTATCTCGAGGGTGGCTCCATGACTGGCAACAATCTCGAGAGTCCCTCGAGAATTCAAGTGCCGGAAGCGCCAACCGCACAGCAGTTTTCCCTGGAACGGTTCCTCGGTAGGTTGCCATCGCCCGCAAGTCAAGGAGCACCACCTGCTTGAGTCTCGCAGGCGACGCCGCGTGAATCAAGCCAATGCATTTCGAAGCGAGTGAAATTATGGCCGATCCTAGGCTCACCGCCTCGCACGCAGAAGAGTCTTCGCTTCGTTTGGTTGCGCGATCCGGTACTTCCTTTGATACACCGCGAATCCCGAGCCGCCTCGAAACACAGCGCGACACTAAATATCGCTCGCATTTCCATTCTTCTCCATCACCTGTAACACCCTCACCCAGCGAGTTCGATCACTCGCACCCAACGAGCTCAATCACTCGCACCCAAGGAGCTCAAACGACCTAGTCCAAGTTGAAATCCCTAAGCCATGACGGTGCTTCGCGCTTTCCTGCTGCTGCTCTGTGCGCTCGCCGCCGCCGCGCACCTGGCGGCTGCGGCGGAGTTCAACCCCGCTCTCGCCACTCTCGCCGCAAGCCCCGACGACAGCCTGCTCGCCACGGGCAAGGCGCTCGCAGATGACGCAAGCGAGGACGCGGATGTGCTTATAACGAACCGCGCTCTTGCGGAGGAGGGCGACTTGGAGGCGTCGCGACATGGGGCTGTTCGCGTGCTGGCCGCCGACGACCTGCTCTCCCTGCTGGCGGAGGGCGCTGCGGATGCTGACGTGGCAGACACGCGGAGGAGCCTGAAGAAGAAGAAGTGCAAGAAGAACAAGAAATGCAAGAAGTGCAAGAAGTGCAAGAAGAACAAGAAATGCAAGAAATGCAAGAAGTGCAAGAAATGCAAGAAGTGCAAGACATGCAGGAAGGGGGAAAAGGATGTAGGCGCGGTGAAATCACCTGGTGGGCCGGCACCTGAGGGGGTGGCCCCTGAGGGGGCGGCACCTGGTGGGGCGACACCTGAGGTGGCGGCACCTGGGGGACCGGCACCTGGTGGGGCGGCACCTGGTGGGGCGGCACCTGGTGGGACGGCACCTGGTGGGGCGGCACCTGGTGGGGCGCCTGGTCGCAGCATGGCGGAGGTCGACCTGCTCTCCCCGCTGGCAGAGGGCGATGCTGATGCTGACGTGGCGGACGTGCGCAGGAGCCTGAAGAAGAACAAGTGCAAGAAGAACAAGAAATGCAAGAAGTGCAAGAAGTGCAAGAAATGCGAGACATGCAAGAAGGGGGAAAAGGATGTAGGCGCGGTGGAATCACCTGGTGGGCCGGCACCTGGTGGGGCGGCACCTGGTGGGCCGGCACCTGGTGGGGTGGCACTTGGTGGGGCGGCACCTGGTGGGGCACCTGGTGGGACGGCACCTGGTGGGGCACCTGGTGGGACGGCACCTGGTGGGGCGGCACCTGCTGGGGCGCCTGGTCGCAGCATGGCGGAGGTCGACCTGCTCTCCCCGCTGGCAGAGGGCGATGCTGATGCTGACGTGGCGGACGTGCGCAGGAGCTGAAGGAGGGAATTAAGGGGAAATGGAAGAGGGGGAAGGAGGACAAGAAGCACGAGAAACATGAGAAGCACGAGGAAGGCGAGAAGGAAGAATGAAACCGGGGCAGCGGCAGCTGGTGGGGCCCCATCCGATGCCAACGCCGGCGCTGGTGACGATGTACATGTGCCTGGGCTTGGGTTTTGCAGGGTTTCTTTAGTGTTGGTGGGGTTTTGGATGTGGGGTTTCGTGCTTGCACACCGTTTGTTGCTGAGATTTCATTGTATGTGCTGATTGGTTTTTAGCATCTTATTCCTTGTGGATTTACTACGTCCTGAAACCGTATGCTTTAGGGTGGTTTCTGCAATGATTTAGATAACAGAAATATATGTGAACGAGGTTGTGGCGTATATCCTGTTGGATTATCTCTGCTTTGTTTTATATCTACCCCCATAGTCGATGGCCTTATTTCTCTTGATGTGTATTAGTTACTCGGAGCACTTTTCTTTCTGAAATTTCATGACACCGAAATATTTCGTAACGGGGCTGCTGTTGCCGAGAACATATACGGGCCAACTCATCCCTAGAATATCAATTCCGTTGTTTCATTTCATCTCTGCGATTCGGCCCCGCGCCACGATTTCAGTCGGTGAGCAGAAAATGTGATTCCAGCACAGCATGTCCGTTCTCCCGTCCCCTCCCATCCCAACCCAACCGTTGGGAATACACGCACTCCCTGAGTGACCTCCTCACAGTTATGTACCAAACAGGTATTTCTGGTGTGTGCGCAGCCATCGTTTTTCGTCCAGCGTGCATAGACAAATATGAGGCCAAGCGACTCGAGTATAATCAGGGTACGAACAATAGAGTATTATTAGCGTGCATAGACAGAAATAAGGCCAAGCGCGTCGTTAGACAGCCTATCACGAGCCAGGCGACGTATACGAACGTGATGGCGTTGCAGGATGTGGTTCCTGATGATGCCATGGGCGAGCTGGCAAGGGCGAGCAAGAGACAAAGAACCGAGAAAACACAAGGTCGACACGATGCCGACACGCAAGCCGACACGGAAGGCGATTCCTTCTCGAGAACCTCGCCAGGTGAACAACATTCCGACGCACGAGGGGATTTGGTGGACAAACTCCCGCCCGCTCTCTGGCACCGCGTTTTTTACCATCTGCTGCAGCGGCCCTGCCAGGCTGCCTCTCCCCACGCCGCCGACAGCCCTAGATTCTGCCGCGAGGGGAACGCGAGCGCTAGCAATGGCGGCAGTAACGCCGCGGGGACCGCCACCGCCGGCGGAAGCTACGCGTTGCGCCGCTGGTTTGCGCCGAGGGAGAAGGACCGCACGCGCGCGGAGCGGGAGGACGCGCGGGTGGTGTTCCAGAAAGAAGGCGCGTCGGCTTGCTGGCTGCACGCGCGGAACGCGGCGTGGTATGGCGCGTCGTGGCCGCTGCTGTGCTGCGCACTCGCCAGCAAGAGGCTTCTTCACCACGTCGCGTCCTTCGCGGTATGCATGCGTGTGTGTTGTTGTCGGATACCTTAGCTTTTATTCGGAAGGGGCCTAACTTCCCTGTATCATGTCCCTGCCGTGTGCGTGCGTCTCTCTGCTGCTGCTGGAAGCACCAAGCTTCTAGCTTGCTGCTCTGGTTCCTTCTCTCCCTTCCCTCCCTGCTCCCTTCCCTCGCCGCAAACACATCCCTTCACTCATTCCCTCCCTTCCCGTCCGCCCCTACCCGTCCTCAGGCCGGCAACAGTAACCCGATCGCGCTCCAATTAATCCACACCAAGCCCGCGTGGACCTCCACCGTACTCTGGTTCCTCTCGCACACGCCCCCTCTCCTTCACCCACCCCTCCGTCATCCCCCTCCTCCGCCGCCCCTTCTCCCTCTCCTCCTGCTCGCTCTTACTCTCCTCGCTCACCTCCCTCGAACTCTCCTTTCGAGGCAAGACCCACGAGTATAAAATCAACAACTGGCGGCTCGGCGTACTCGCGCCATGCACGAGCCTCCACTCCCTCACGCTCGAACGCGGCGCGTGGCGATTCGACAAGTCCTGCATCACGGCTCCCTGGTCCCGCTCCATAACGACCCTCACTCTCCAAGCCAACGACGCCAGAGGCCCGAACCTTAAAGCCCTCGCGGAATTCACTCCACAACTGCACGAGTTTACCTTTTACGAGCCGGAGAGTCTCGCATACGGCGTGGGATCCGGCCCCGTGTTCCTTAAACTGGATTTCCCCCGCATCCGCCGCCTATGCTTCCGTTTCGTGCATCACGAGCTCAAGCTCCGGCTCTCCCTGCCGCCCGCGTTCACGTCGTTCCACGCGTCGGCGGAAACCCTAATTTTGAACTGCACTTCCGCCACCCCGTTGGTTCTCGACCAGCTGTTTCTGTTCGGAAAGAGGAGGCTGCATATCTCATCGTTCGCCGTTGGATCTGTCCGCGCGCTCTACCTGAACGGTCCGATCAGGTTCTACCCGACATGGCCGAACGCTTATATTCTTAAGAAGCGGCAGGGGTTCATGGGAATGTTCACCGAGATGCCGCCGCCGCCTTTTCCCTGGGCCGACTGGCTGCGCGCACTAGCGCCGACAACGGAGGTGCTTATAGCGAGGCACGATATCCAGCTCGACTCCTGCGGTGTGGCCTGGCCGCGCCTGCAGAGCCTCGCGATCGTCGTGGAGTGCGAATACGCGAGGGCGAAAGCGGCGCCCGGCGAAGTTACCCTAGAGGACGCGGTGCGGACAGACGCAAGCTACTCCGTGCGGGAGAAGCGGCGGGAGGAGTGTTGGGGCAGGATGCGCGAGCGACGGCTGGAGGAGGACCGGCAGGACGAAGAACGCCTTTCCGGCAAGTACACGACGCGCTTCCACACTGGCCCCTTCGGCAACCAAGTGGCTTCGGGATCAAAGATCGACAACGACACAGAGTACGATTACGAGCCGAACGAGGATGAGCGGTGGGAAAGCAGCAGCTACGAAGAGTACGTGACAAAGTATTCCCTAGAACCTCCGCTCGTCGAGGCTCCTGATCTGAAATTCGTGTTTTTTCCGACCAGCAAGCGCGCGGACGCGGATCTGCTGGGTGCGCTGCAAGCGGCGTATCCTAGCGTGGAAATGTACTGTGCTGAGGGGAGCTCGTGGTATTGGGGGAAGAACGGGGAGCGAGTGCAGGGAGGGGGGCCCGTGGAGCATGTGCGGAAACCACGCGCGGCCAAGAAGAAGAGATGTGGCGCGGCTGTAACGAGGAGTTACAAGGGCGGGGCGAAGACCGTGCGGGATAAGGCGAACAGCGTGAATCGGAGGTTGATGGGCGAGGGGTACAGTCTTGATGCGGAGGAGGCGTATGTGTTGCGGAACAAGGACCGCTACATGCGTTTTGATAACTCCGATGATGACTCTAGCGAGGGGGAGGAGGATTATGGCGAGGATGAGTGGTGGTAGTGAGCGGTTGGAGGAGGAGGAGGGAGGAAGGGCGGGCAGGGAAGGGAGAGGATTTTGGGGAACGTGAGGGCTGTGGGGAGCAACAAAGGGGTGACAAGAGGTTGAGGAAAATGGGGGAAGGGAATTTAAGGGGGTGGAGGGAGGGGGGGGTACAAGCAGGAGGGGGAGCAAAGAAGCGGCAAAGGAAAGAGAGAAAACGATGGGAATGGGAACGGGGAAACACGGGAGGGAGGGGAAGGTGGAGACGGGAGCAGGGAATGGGTACGATAGAGGAGCAGAGAAAAGCAGCGGAGCAGACACCATGTGCAATAGCTGAGAGGAGATGGAGAGTGGCGAGTGTCACGTCATGAACTGGGTCCTTCTCTCGCCCTCCAAGGCTAAGGGCAATAATGCCGGCCCCCATTTACTGCCATGCCATCAGGGACAGCTATGCTGGAGATCTTCTGATACTGGGAATGGAGTGCCGGGAAGGCCGGCTGGCATGTGATTAGGTCGAGTGACGCAGCTGCTGTGGTGAGAACGAGGGGTTGAGGTAGAGATGATGTGCTGATGGTTTTTGTTCATAGGTCTTAGTCCAAGCCTTAGAGTAAGAAACATGGAATTGGCATGTGGGAGAGGCCTCTCTCAAAAAGAGTATTTCAATTCCAACTTTATGTAGGCGATTTTTTCTGGTAATGCAAATCAATAAATGGCCAAGTATTCTGCAGGCGTACCAAGTAGGAGCAAGATTGAGTTTGGAGATGATAGGTGTGCGGAAGAAACAAGTGTACATATCCAGGTTTGGCCACAAGACCAGCTTCATCAACCTTCATTAACCTATGCGTCTGACGTGTCACAACTTCGAGTCTGGGAACCAATGAGACGCTCGCAGAATCTGAGGCCCATTTTTCGACGTTTGCTTTCCTTTGGTCCGCGCCAGGGAGCTTGGACCAATCTGGTGCTTGAAATCCAACCTTGATATTACTTTTTGGATTTCTCGTTCCCCGTCACGCTTGTCAGAGCTGAATACAAACCTTGAGTATCCCATATATTTGCTTTTGTCTTCATCTCTCGATTGCAGACTCAGTTAAAATGTCTCACAATGTACTAACATTCCGCTCAACAAATACGTTTTCCAGGGGTGTCTACCTCAATACTTTCCTCTTCCAACCAGCGGATTTCCATTGAACAAGCCAACACCTTACAACCGAGCCCAACCCAACGACGGCATCTGTTTCTCAATTGGTGCATCGTGTACATGAAGAGCGGTATCAGAAAACTGATCAAACCGGTTCAAATTGCACAAAATTGCACTCGACCATTTACCGAACAGGAACTGCCAGTCACTTGGAAACTCCTCGTCGTCCAACACTGAACCAAAAAGCAAGGCTCAGTTGACATCCGTAGCTCACTCGACTGGCGAATTTCAGGGGAATACTAGGAACTGCGTGCATTCTGTACCGCACCTCGTCTCCACTAGCTGCACGTCGTGGCGATCAGCAAAGGCCTCAAAGACGACTACTGGTGACGAGGATCCGCGTTGTGCATGAGCGACGTCGCGCTCTCGTAGCTCACTTTAAGAACGGTAACACCTCTCTCTAGTGGCTTATAGCCTCTCTGGTAGAACGTTAATCTTAGGGCGCGTGTCTTTTGCTGTAGATGTTCGAAAATTTGGTTGAACTTTTGCTGGTAACCCTATTCGCAAATCTCGCGAAATGTTTTGCTTGTGCATCGCCTAGTACAACATTGTAGATGACGAATGGGTTGAACTTTCGGTTGAAACTATGCATGCACAAAAATTCACTCGTGTGTCCTCTTGACAATGCACTAGGTAGTTGCGAATCTAGGCGACGGTCGTAGCTTATTTCGTGCGCACGAACGACTTCGGAAAAAAGGTTACGGTGTCGCCAAAAACGCGTCAAAAACAGGGTAACCTACGTAGGTTAACCGCGACTCGGGAAAGTTCAGCTTCGATTGTTGAACTTTCGCGTGTCTTTTGGTTCTTGTGGGTTGAGGAGCAGCGACTCGGGCTACAGCAACCAATATTGTTGAGCCTAGGTCGACCTAGGTTCAACTGCGTAAGTTCAACTCAAAACTCGAGTTTTGCATAGATTTTACAAAAGACACGCGCCCTTATAATCAGCGACAACATACTCGGCAGGCCGTGGGCTCGCGTCAACGAGCAGCGGCGACTCTTACCCCTGACAAAACACATTCTCAGCGCTCGTCTCCGGCAGGCTCCAGTGCGAGTTCCACCCGTCATTCGTGCGAAGACTCTCGCAGTCACTGCAGAGGGAGCTCGCGGGTATTATTACTAATACTGCTCACGGCGATCATGAGTCTAGCGGCGCATTGCTCGCCATGTGGTCTCGTCAAATGCAGCCCAGCCGCGCGTCGGCTGGGCGACGCGGGACTTCCATTCGCGACGGTCTCGTCGGTTCCGTCCATTTCGCCCACTCCGTTACTTTTGCGTGCTCGTCAAATCGCGCCAGCTGTCAGGCGCGACGCGTTCGGAGCCCGCGCGATTGTGACTGAATCCGCTATTCCTCCCCGAAGACTGGCCGTCCTGTCAAGACCAGGGCGATTCGCGACCTCAAGAACTCTTGAGTCGGACCACGTCCGTTACAGACACCCGCTTTTGTCCGCGTTAAAAGCTCGCGCGGACACTGTGTCTATCGACGAGCCTTATAGCGAATCCGCGGACGCAGCGCAGAAGGGCGGGATCAAGCCACAAGAGGCGGAAAGCGCGGGAATTGCGGGGGAGACGCGCGCGGCGGAAGAAGACGCGGGGAAGGCGGCGGCGGCGCGCAGCGGCAGTGCCAGTAGCAGCGACAGCGACGGAGGCGAGAAGCTGAGCCAGGCGACGCTGATTTGGCGCGCTGTGAAGCTGCCGATCTACAGCGTGGCGCTGATTCCGCTCATGGTACGTGTGACTGGAAAGAACCGAGAATTTGCGCGAGTAGGATAGCACGCGCGGACAGACTCTGAATAAGGCTTCTTTACTGTTAGCCGGATACGAATCAAAAGTAATCGTTTCCTTGTGGGAACTTTCTTAAGGCTCTCTCGTCATCTTGCCCACACACACACCCCCTCGCGTCCATCATACCACTCTCGCCATTCTTGCCAATCACGCCTCGCTGCGTCGCTCTCGCCACTTGCACTCGTCGCACGCCAGGTGGGGGCGTCGGCAGCATACCTACAGGCTGGCGTTTTCCACGCGGGCAGATTCAACTCCTTCCTCCTCTTCTCCGTCCTCGTTATTGCGTGGCTCAATCTAAGGTACAGCACAGTGTCATCGTCCCGCGTCACCCTCCCTGATACTCCACTTGTTTCACATCTTTCTCAACCAACGACAAACGGCGTTTTCATATGCAATGCACATTTAGCCATGGGGTTTGCTGGTGAAGGCTCACTCCGTTTCCTACTCTCCTCCCTCCTGCCTAATCCCTGCCTCCCCTCTCCCTACTGCCTCTCCCTGTGACAGTAACGACGGATTTGATTCTTTCACTGGTGTGGATAAGACGAAGCCAGAGTCTGTGGTCAACCTGACGGGCAGGTGGGTCAACCTGACGGGCAGGTGGGTCAACCCGATGGGCAGGTAAGTCAGCCTGACGGGTGGGTGTAGGATATGCACGCATTGCGAGTTAGACCCATGTTCACGATCCATCCATCCGTACACGGCACTGTGCAGCTCAAACGCCTCTCTGGTGGAAAGAACGAGGGTGCTGGGCTCGCAGGAACGACGGAGTATGAACATGGGGTGATTTTAAAATTCACTCAGAAGTCGCTTCCAGTGGAACAGTATCTACTGTGAATGAAAGGCGACGGTAGTGGCATTATGATGAATGGCTTAAATGAAAGTCGTTCAGGAGCAACAAGCAGCAAATTGCCTTCCGTGATTCTTCTGCTCTTCTCAACTTCCCTTCTATCCCACCCTCACCCTCATTCCATACCCTCCCCTACCCTTCCCTCTCTCCCTTTCCTCCCCACCTCTCCCCTCTCCTCCCCTCCGCAACTCCTCCCTCCCTCCTCTCTTTCCCCTCGCCCCCACCAGTCGCTCCTGAGTGCTGGCAGTGGCCTTCCTCTTCCTGGGTCTGGGCCTTCTCAGTCTCCTTCCGTGCCTCTTTTACGCTTCTCACTTCCTCACTCCCCCCACCCCCCAACCCCCCAACCTCCCCACCAGTCGCTTCCGAGTGCTGGCAGCGGCCTTTCTCATGCTGGGGGTGGGCCTCGCAGGGATCTTCTCAGGCGCGGCTGCTGTGGCGGATCCACGTGTCGGATGGCTATTGGCCGCCTCAATCGCCTGTGGCTACGTGTATCAGGTGAGTAAGGGCTATTTGAATCAATTCAGTAAGTCCTGATTCAAGGAAGGGCTATTGTCTTTTTCCCTCCTCGCACAATCCCTACTTTCCCCCTCTCCCTCCCTTCATTGCTCAATCCAGTGTCCGCCTTTCCGCCTGAGCTACAAGGGATTGGGCGAGCCGCTCTGCTTCCTGGCCTTTGGCCCCTCTGCTACCACTGCCTTCTACCTGCACCAGGCCAGGTGAATGCGCAGCAGAGCCAGGTGAATGTGCAACACAGCGAGGTGAGAAGAGTCATTGTGAAATGGGGTTTGTACCATAGGGAGGAACAATTGATAGCTGCTGGTCAAACAATCACGTATTTACCGCGTGTGCTGCTTCCCCTCGCTCTGTAAAACATGTCCCATGCTCCCCAATTCAAATCCCAATCTCAGTTCCGTCCCGTCCCATCCCAACCCATCCCATCCCATCCCATCCCATCCCATCCCATCCCATCCCATCCCATCCCATCCCATCCCATCCCATCCCATCCCATCCCATCCCATCCCATCCCATCCCATCCCATCCCACCCATCCCATCCCATCCCATCCCATCCCATCCCATTCCATCCCAACCCATCCCATCCCATCCCATCCCATCCCATCCCATCCCATCGCATCCCATCCCATCCCATCCCATCCCATCCCATCCCATCCCATCCCATCCCATCCCATCCCATCCCATCCCATCCCATTCCATCCCAACCCATCCCATCCCATCCCATCCCATCCCATCCCATCCCATCCCATCCCATCCCATCCCATCCCATCCCATCCCATTCCATTCCATCCCGCCCTGTCTCGCCCCATCCCGGCTCGTCCCGGCCTGTTTCAACCCATCCCATCCCAAACCATCCTATTACCTTCCCCTCCCCTCCCCTCCCCTCCCCTCCCCTCCCCTCCCCTCCCCTCCCCTCCCCTCCCCTCCCCTCCCCTCCCCTCTCCTCCCCTCCCCTCACTTCCCCTCCCTTTCCCTCCCCACCCCTTTTCTCCGTCTCCCTCTCTCCCAGCAACCCGGGCGCGCCAGCACCGGTGTCAGCAGCAGTGCTGGCAGCATCGGTCCTGGTTGGCATCACCACCACGCTCATTCTCTTCTGCTCGCACTTCCACCAGGTCAGTCCCCTCGCACTCCCTCACTCAGCCTTGTCTCCACCCGTCCTTGCTAGCATACGTATAGATCCGTACTGTCAGGTGTAGCTAATTCGTTCCAGCTCGCACATCCGTTCCGTCCACCAGGTCAGGACGCCATAGCGAGCACTGCTGTGAGTTCTACCGAGCCTGCTTTCAGTCAAGGCATTCCGACCCACCCCTTCCTCCCTGTCCACTTCAAATGACCGCATCTATCCAGTCCTCAAAGCCCCAACCACACATGCCTTTCTCGATACATCATGTCTCCTTCCTCTCATCCCCAACGCTTCTTAACCCCCACAAATTGATCCCTTTCTTCCCAACCCTCCCTCATCACAAACCACCTCCATAGATCGACGGGGACAGAGCCAAGGGCAAGCTCTCCCCGCTGGTGCGCATGGGCACAGCCAACGGGTGTGAGGTGGTGCGAGTGTCTGTGCTTGCGCTCTACCTCTTCTCCGCTGCCTTTGTTGCCACGGGGGTGCTCCCATGGACCTGCCTGCTTGCTGCAGCCGCCACGCTCCCCATCGGTCGCATCGTTGTCAACTTTGTCTCGACACATCATCAGGTTTGTTCGGTTGCCTAAATGTTACGGAGCCTCGTTTTCTTCATGATATAAAGCCCTTTCTCTTCCTGCCAGCTGCTATTGTGAGTTCTTGGGTTTGCTTGTGGTCTGTCTGTCCTACTTTCCAACAACAAATTGCACCCTTTTTACCTTACTCTCACTTGGACCCCGTGTTCCACTCCATTCACCATTCTACCCTGCCCTTGCTCTTGGAACCAACACGTCTCCATTTGTTATGTGTGTGTCTGTTCATATGCCTTTCAGGATAAGGATACCATATTCATGGCAAAGTATTTCTGTGTTCGCCTCCACATCGCCTTGGGATTAGCACTTACAGCATCCCTCTCCCTAGCACGTAAATTTGCATTGCGTGTGTAAATCCGTATACCTGCACAACCAGGACTTGCAACGATCACCAGAGGTTACCGTACATAAAGGGATGCGGCTTTTTCTGTTAGGCTATTCTGTTTGTTATGCGGCTTTTTGCAGATTCTGCTACCGTACCACACAGGTGGAGGGGTGAGCATGAAACTGCAAGCATTATGGACTCTCACAGGTGGAGGGGTGAGCATGAAACTGCAAGCATTATGGACTATGAGGGAAGTTGGCATAGATGTGCTGAAAAAAATATATTATACAAAATATTGCCCATGCCCTCTGATATTCTATGGCTATATACTTGCATCCATGTTCGACTTGTTTGTGATTGAAGTACATGTAAGCCTCTCAAGTCACAATGAAAATTTATTCCTTGCAATCATTGCTTTCCTATGAGATTCTACTCAGACTGCCAATACCATACATCCCTATAGAAGTATTTTCCTACTGTCCACAACACTTTATTATGTCTAACGAAAAGCATACGAAAAGCATATCGGTTTATAAGTCAGTAAAACCCTGCGGGTTTTGAGGAAGTCTTGCACCAACTTGGGAGACCTCGCCACTGACAGATGCGGGCCTCCTGGTAATGGCGGGAACGTGTAGGAGACGCAGAAGTGTTACGGGCGAAGGGATTAGCAAGTGCGGGGAATTTGTCGACGCAGAAATGGAGGCGACGCGAAGCGGGACGTATGACAGACGGGAAAACACTGCGCACATCATGCCCACAGAGCAGATGGGCTTTTCTGTGGCGGGTGGTGATGAGCGAAGATGAGGGCAGATGAACCATTCGTGTTGAAATGCTATGAGGCTGCGAGTCTCCCAAACACTTGTGGATTGGACGGGGCCGGTGATGACGGGAGCGTGAACCGATGTGGGACCACGTTGTCGGATCGTGACGGAATGAAGCGCGTAATGCGATGACGGAATTAATAGTTCGTCAAAGCGTGCCGTGCAGCACCTTAGTACGGCTTGTAGCCATCAAGCGTCTTCTCATTCTCGCTGCCTTCCCTGTAGTAGCTCTTGAACCACCGCACGAACTTCTCCAATCCCGCATCTAAATCGGTGGTAGGTTGATAGCTGCGGACAGGGAAAACAGGGAGAACGAGATTACGTTAGGAAAGACTCATGATAATCGAAAACTGCATACCAGTCGAACAAGAACTCAAACTGGCTGTGCTACAAAACTGAATTACTATGCCCCAGAAACTTACCCAAGGTCGTTGTGGGCTCTTGTGACGTTGGCGTGCGTGAACATGACGTCACCGGTGCTGGGCATTTGGATATAGCTGCACAGAAGATCGAACGAAGTCAAAGGCAGGAAAGAGAAATTAGCTCGAGACAATGAGTAAGCAAGTTTGGAATAAACTGGCTTGTATCGTAACCAGCACGAAGGGCCATAATTGCGACTCTGAAGCAAACGGACGCGCACGTACTTGCGAATGGCCTGCCTCTGGAGGTGCTTCTCGAGAATACCAACGAACTCGCCGACCTTCACGGGCTGCGTGTTCCCCAGATTGAACACGCGCATCGGCGCCTTGCGCTTCTTCTTCCCGCCGCTGCCCGTGCTCGGCGCTGCAGTATCCAGCGCAGCCACGCACCCGCGGACCACGTCGTCAATATACGTAAAGTCCCGCGCAAGCTCCTCCTTCTTAGGCCCCTGGAAAATCTTAATCGGCTTTCCCTTGACGATATTCCGCGCGAAGGAAAAGTAGGCCATGTCGGGGCGGCCCCAGGGGCCGTACACCGTGAAGAACCGAAGCGCGGTGATGGACAGCCCGTAGATGTGGTTGTAAGTGTGACCCAGAACCTCGTCCGCCTTCTTCGTCGCGGCGTACAGACTCGCGGGCCGGTCCGTGCGATCGTCTTCGGAGAAGGGGACCTTGCTGTTGAGACCGTACACGCTCGACGACGACGCGTACACCACCGCGGGTTGCGGGTTCGCCGCCTTGCACTCCTCGAGCAGCGTCACGAAGCCCTGCACGTTCGAGTGCACGTACGCGAGCGGGTTGACCACGGCGTACCGCACGCCGGCCTGCGCGGCGAGGTGCAGCACGTGCGTGAACTTGACGAGCTGGAAGAGGCGCGCGAGGATGGCTTGGTTGGTGATATCGCCGTCCACGATGAAACTGCGCAGCGCGCGGACGCGTGGGGAGGAAATAGACGAGACGGCAGATATTCAATTAGCGAGACGGAGCGATGAGGATCAAGAAAAACAGTCGAGGAAACGAGAGGAAGAGAGGAAAGAAAACGAGTTGCGGTGGATCGGCAACGTGGACGGTATCAAAGGACGGACGGCAGTGCAGGCGGATGGATGCAAGGCAATGTCAAAGAGTAACCTGCATAGGAGGCGGCACGGGAGTTTGTGTGCTTACATTCCCTTCTCAGCGAGACGGCCCTGCCTCGCCCTCTTGAGGGCAACAGGATAGTAGCTGTTGAAATTGTCAATTCCAACCACGCCGTCGCCTCGCCTCTTAAGCGCCAGCGACACGTGCGAACCCACAAACCCCGCTGCGCCTGTGACGAATACGACGAGGCCCGCCGCCTCCTGAGGTTTGCTCGAGGCCAGTACTTGATGCTCCCATACGGCGTCACCCCACGGGGCCTCCCCCGTGTTAGCGCCGGATTGGCCTAGCAATGGTGACGTGGAGCGGTACAGCAGCCCTATGAATCTGCACCATGCGGCAACGAGTGAAAGGAACAGAAATGACATGAAGGAAAACGTTATAATGGGTTTCGCGGAACCCGATGGGGCGAGGGAAAACAATGAAAAAAAATCACGAGGGAGATACATCCGACACGACTAGTTATAGCGCAACCGTGCATATGCTGGTGACGCACGCAGGCACTGCATCTAACAGCTCTGTGGAGCTCCATATCGTGCAAGGGAACTCACGTCACGACGACGAAAACTGTGAGGCACGTTAATTGCGGCCCGCTTAGACTCCGCGCTGATCGTTGCACAAACGAGTTGGACCTGAGCTTCTCGTTGCTCTCGCTCTCCACGTCGATGGGCTTGCCAGGACCCGACGGCGACACTAATTTCATTGGCGGAGCCATGTTTGGCGGCATATTGCTTGTGCGCTCCGCCTTGCAAGATACTTCAAGGTGAGAGAGCAGTTGAGATTACGGTGGTGGCAAAGATGGAACACGGACAGTCACCAAGATGTACGATCGTAAGAGCTAAAGGAATGGCCTAGTCGAGTAAGCCGAGCTGAACCGACGAGGCTGAAGGCTGAAAGCGGCAAGGTTCGCAAGCGATCTGTGAGCGACTTAGCTGGCTGATAGGATGGCAATGAGCTCTGCAGGAGAGAGAGCGCAATAGAGCAATCCCTAAGCCGAATGAAGACTGGGAATAGCTAGTTATCTAGCCGTGCTTGGTACCCGTACAACTCGGTTACGTTCTATGTGCGTGTGCTCCGAAAAGAAGCAATTGGCTCGCGGTCGCTACCCGTTGCTTCCTTGCATGACCAATTCAGCGCTTGCCGTTGAAAACGCTTTGGCTGGATCCCTTTGTCAGTTGGGACATCTGACATGAGACCCTCCCCGTGCGGGCAAAAGGAAATCCCCGTTGAGCGCATGGCGGGGAAGCTGGCGTCTTGGTTTGAACGGACCGTATCGCGTTTGACGGAGAACCATTCGATGGTTCGGCAATTCCGCGTCTCGGCATGTGTGCATGTGACAAACGGCAAACGTGACCCGCGAGGACGACACGCGGTCACTTCTGTCTTGTCAAACCCGATGCGCGCGGAGCGAAAGTGACGGGGGGAACGTTCTCCATGCGTGGCGTTTGGTTCGCGCCTACGACATTTTGGGTGGAAGAGGGGCGCCCGCACGTTGGGACAAGGGTAACCTACGCCAAACCTCTCGGTTGCGCAAAATCGAGGTGAGTGCAACGTCCCCGAACCTAAGCATGTGTTTGTCGTTCCGGACCACTGTTGAGAAAGCGGAGCGCTCTTTCAGGACCCTAACGGTCCATTCCCCAAAGATAAAAGGTGGTGTCTTGTAGATAGTCAGCAACTGTACGACTTGAATAAACGGAGATATAACACTTGATAATATATATTTGTAAGAAATTGTAATTCCTTACTCTGCTTGCATTTTAGCGAGTACAACCCGAAGGCCACGCGTCAGCCCAGTTAGACCTACAATTTCGTCCTGAACCACTTTCGAGTCGCCTCCGCTCCAATCGCAACACTGTTCGAACCGTCCTTTCCAACCTCCCCGCCTAGCAAGCCTTTCCCCTATTAAGTCTCGCCACTTGGTGTTTATCGTCATTCTGTAGTTCAGTATTCTCGTTATTCGTTTAACTGCGCACTTTTCAAGTTCATTCATAACACCAGGCATCATACCGTAACTACTATCCTAACCTGCCCCACTTTTTAGAGTGTATAACCCCTTGGGGAGGGGGGGAGGGGGAGGTAGGTGTCAAGATATATTCTACATATCTGTTGTATATTTGCTTGCAGTTACATCGTGGTGTAGTTATTCCGCCTATTGTTGGGCGTGCACCCTTGCTATGATTTGTTCATTGACTATATCTTATAATGAAACCCTCTTATCCAACTTCCCTCTCGCTACTCTCGATACTTGCCTAGGCCGTTCCTAAACCTAAGATCTAGGCAATCTCAACATGATATGGTTCAAGAAAGTAGGAAGAATGTTGACTATCGAGAGTGTTTAAGTACAAATATGAGAACCCTAAAGGGGTGTACCTAGCTACCCCACTACAACTTACACCTAATCATAATAACATATATAGTTTGACACACCCCCATAGGCAAAGTGGGGGAGAACAAGGGGTCACAAGACCAGTCAAGAAAAGCAAAGCAAGCTTCGAGTGGATCACAACCCCACCACACACTCCAAGCACAGGCAAAGGGCCACAAGGCCAGTTCACATGTAGAGGTATATATGGAACAGCAACAGTACAGTGATCACTACCTAGCAAGAGCAAGCAAGCAGGTATATATATAGCTCACAGTAGAAGCAGGATCACG